ATCTATCTATCTATCTATCTATCTATCTATCTATCTATCTATCTATCTATCTATCTATCTATCTATCTATCTATCTATCATCATCTCAAACACTACTACAGTACCAAACAACCCATATTTAATTCTCAGGATGTTGGACCAGAATCGTCCTCGATGTTGCAGAAGAAGAATGACGTGAGACCCAAGGACGCCTGGAATGTGGGTTTCTCCTTCCAGGGAATAGTGCTTTACTTCAAGATCTGCCTTTTTCTCCAAACACACTAAGAAAGAAAGAAACACATGGCAATCAACATCAGAAACACTTTAAATAGGAATAGGAATAGGAATTTAAATTGTGAATATACACAATCACGCAGGCTGTGCTGAAGGCTGAACCCCAGAAGATGAGATGGAAGGGGCCAGCATTTTTTGCAAAAAGAGCACAAATATACCTACAACTTCAGAATACTTTAGCAGTTTCTTTTTATCCATTTTATCCAATGGAAAAACACCCATTTTAGGGGGGCTGATTTGCAAAAAGGACTTTCAGCATTCACACATCGTATTTGGGTTTGCTTCCCCAACTTATCAGGATTGTATGTTTTTATTAATGCATTCATTAATGATCAGACATGATTTTTTAAAAAAATGGCATGCAGAGTAAGTAGAATAAGTTAAAACACATCAGATGGAATAAGATATATGCATAAATCCTAACAGTGAAATAATAAAATACTGATAAGCAATGAGGCAGCAATGATATGAAAAAACTGCATTGTTAGGCCAGGCAATCCTCTCTGGGGTGAGTTTAAGACCTTGATTTCTATTTTTTTAAATTGCAGTTTTAAAAATATACCCAGAGAATACCAAACTTTTAAGTGGTATTATACACAAATCCTACAAATAACCTAATTCATTTAGATTAATCCAACAAATAATCTAATTATTTAGATTAATCTAATCTAATTAAATCAAACCAACCAATCCAAGAAAACCCCTAACAATGAACATGCTAAATTGATAGAAGCCACCTAAATATATCACATATATATTTAAAAATACTATATCCAGTGACACATAAACATTTGTCTATTCTTGTACAATATGATGCAATCCTTGCCCAATGGAAACCTTTTGTGTCATTTCTTGATTAGTAGGAAAAAAAATAGCTTTTTCAAAAATAGATGACTACACATGTCTTGAACCCAGTCTTTGATATCTGGAGTTGTAACACTTTTTCAGATTTGGAACTGGTTTTTTTTTTTTTAAATCCACATAGCTTTTGTAATGGGTTCCTTCACATAGGGAGAAAGGCTTTGGGTATGTCTCCAGTTTAATCAGGTTGTCAATGAGGATGTTGTACTCTTACCTGCAAGGAACGCAGCATCCTTCAGCAAGTTAGTCAACGATACTGAAAATGCCACCTTCTGGTTGGCCTGTTTAGTGATGTTTCCTGCAAGGACAATAGGACTTCCGTGTCTTAGCAATTTTGCTTCCAGACAGATTGCATATCTTTGTTCCCCAGCCATGGATTGCAAATCTGTCCTGCCCTGCAGAAATTAAATGCATCTAATTGATTTAAATTGATTAAAATATATGGTCAGAGACCTACAAGGAGTACTTCTAGAATGGAAGATATACTGGCTGGATCTTTAAGGTTTTTTGGGGGGGGTTGGGGGCTACTTGTGGGGTTGTCAGAGGGCAAAGCTTGGCAGTGTGGTTATCTGAGTCCACCCTTGCTATGAAATTCCCCATTTTTGGAACCCAACCTTCCATCTTCAACCTTGAATCTTTGCCAGTTGCTCAAAGTCCAGCTCTTCACTCAAGCGATAACAACATTTTGTTGCTGATTGCAAATCTTGTTTTATAGTATTGCTATCGTTGTTGTTACTGCCTTTTATTCTAATGGTCAAAACAGCTCTGTTGATTTATTCAATTTTTATCCCACTTTTATTTTTGGTCAGCTCAAGGCAACGTATATATCTAACCAGTTCTATTGATATAACCTACAACACATTGAACCGATTTTCTTATGAAGGGCAGCAATCAGAAGCAAGTGGTCAGGAGTAATGATATGAGAGCAAGTTTTCACACAGTGAAAAACAACATGATAGGAAATTTGATAGGGTTGGATAACTGAAGAACAGATGGAAACAAGCCAGCTTGCTCAAAAGAGGGAGACGAACAGCCCATTATGGAGGGCGAGAGGGAGAAAGACCTGCAAAATGATTTGGACATTATTTCTCTATATATGGCTTGTCCTTAAAGCACAGCAATGGCTGACATTCTTGGATTATGGCTCCCTACTTTCTTCAACAAATATTACTTATCACAATTTTTTTTTAATTTCTTATGTTTAAGTGGTTCTCTATCATAATAATCTTTGGTTCCAGGCCAGGTGAGAGACACCTACCTTAATGTAATAAATGGTGTTGTCATTGACTATCAGTTCCAGATGCCCAACACGAGAGTATTTTGAGATTTCAATTTTGCCTGATAAATGCAGAAAAAAGTGTAAGTAACTCCTGGTTGTGTTTACCCACAAACAGATAGCTTAATGCAAACAGAAGACAATTCTAGGTAGAAAAGTCTAGGTCAGTGTTTCTCAAACTTGGCAACTTTAAGAACTATGGACTTCGACTCCCAGAATTCCTCAGCTAGCATGCTGGCTGGGGAATTCTGGGAGTTGACGTCCACAGTTGCCAAGTTTGAGAAGCATGGATCTAGGTGGAAGTGGATAGACTTTGTAAGACTTACTGTCTTTTCCTTAAGTAGAACCACAAATGCAACAACCAAATATCAGGCATCATAGTGCTTCTTAGCAAGCTGACATGTACAATTGGTGAAGGAATTAAAGTAATATGAGAGCTCTAGTGGATCCTGCACTGAGTAGGAATTCGGCTAGGTGACCTCTAAGATTCACCCCATAAGGTCTTCTCACCCAAAATCCCTTTCCTAACTCCTCATTTTTTTTTTCAGTTGCCTAATATAGGGATCAAAACTTGTTATTTTTGTTCATTTTTTAAAAATAATTGTGAACTGCCCATTTTTTTTTTGTTGTTGTTATAAATCTTCCAAACATTTTTCCAGGAGATCTCAACTGACTTCTCCCTTTTCCACTTTCCAGTTCAAGGGGGCCTAAAGCTACTTCTTTGCCATGGAACTCTGAGCAGCTTTGATCAGATAATACACCATTTCTTAATCTCATTTTTTTTTTCAAATTTTGCAAGATTTGACATGTTTTGCAGAAAGATAGAAAGCTGCTTACACTGAACATTGAAGCCTATCAGGAGAAAATATAGAAGGTGAAGAACAAAACACTGTTGGAATATTTTCCTTATATGTTTACAGTAAGTTTAAATTAAGGAAAGATTGGCTCCTGCCATTAGAAACAAAAGAGACATCATATAGCAAACCCCATGTAAAGGAAGGCATACATCTTATGTATAAAAAAAACATATGTATAGGAAAGATAAAATGCCCATTTATGAAGACATCTATTTTAGCTCAAGGTAAGGAGACATTTGTTTTAACTATAAATAAGGAGGGATCTGTTCTAACTCTAGATAATGAAACATTTGTTTCTAATAAGCTAATGCATTCTATTCCATTGATAATAATTGGCTAACTCTTTAAACTAAAAAAAACCTATAAAAAGAGAGACGGAGGAGCAGTCCATTGTGGCCGCCCATCCAAAGTTACTTGGCAACTTTGGGTTGAATAAACATATTTTCTTTGACTGATTGTCTGGTGTGTTTAATTGGATTCCTGGCTTGGGAACAAACAGAGGGAAAAGAAGGTGTCTGATCCTTCTGACAACACCTAAGTGAATATGCTACACAGCATTGAAGATGAAATTTGCAAGCTCTACTGTTATATGCTCCATGTATGGAGGTGACTTAGATCTCTCAACGGATGGGCACCAAGGGGTTGCAATTGGACCTCAGTTGTTCTCACCATTCACTTGTATTTTTGTCTTTGGCTCGATAAATTCAATTCTAATTTTTTTCTGGAGGATGTTCCAGTGGAATTCAAAAGCAACATCCCTCTTCAGCTCTGATTTTGGAGTTCCAATAAAGAAATGGAGTCCAGCTTCATTTGGAATCCAAGAACCTTTCTGGGGGAGAAGAAAGATTAATAACACCAACCTAGTCGAACGAAGAATCAAACTGCAAATTTCAAAACTGACTACTCATTGCAAGCTGTACCACAAGAATTAGTTCTTAACATTATATGTGTTATTTCGGTCTATCTGTCTGTCTCCAAACCAAACAGTGAGAACCAGACCTGAGTGACATAATTGTATGCTGCTTTTATTAAATACTGCTGTAGGCTTCTGTCCTGCTTTTTTAGCACCACGGCAACTTTGGCAGGTCCAGGGAATGGAAAAATGAAACTGCTGGTCTTGTCATCAGGGAGAAAAACGTCTGAACACAGCTGCCAACCAAATGTCTTTGACCCTACAGTTAAAACAGAAAAAGAAAATAAAATAAAGAAAAGTGAAGAAGAAAGCCTTTGACAATACAAGATTCTTTTGTGTCATTTGTCCATGGAAATATTCTTATTTTCTACAAGCTATATCTTGCCCTATGTTGAAAATGCATTATGCAAAATAACCTCTAACACATCCATTTCTCCTAGGTTACCTGGAATTTTTAACTGCAACATTATTTTGTAAGTGACTTTAAATTAGGGGATTGTTTAAAAGGATCTGACTTGGAGCATTTTGATTTTTCTGCAAAATACAACAAGACTGAAAGGTGACGGATGAGAAACGCACTAGATACCTTACCTTCCTCACTGGTGCAAAGTTGAGTTTGGCCTGGGAAACGGTCAACAGGCTTTGTTTTCTCCCTTGCAGTAACGTAGAGTTGAGAACTACAAAAAAGGGAAAGAAACAGAGTTCCTATGATGCGGCTCATTCTGCAGTTTTGATATACAAGAATCACATGGGCTATTTTGATTCCTGGAGAAAATCTATCTGTGTGGTTGCTAAGAGTCAATGACTTGATGGCATGTGATCAGTCAATCAATTTTGCATGATGTTTAGTCAGTGTTTCGAGAAAGGAGCCTTGCTTTCTAATTTCATAAGAATTGGGTGGGAGAGGGTGGAAAAGGCCAGTCCCCTTCTTGAAACCAATGAGATATGCTGCCATCCCCAGAGACCTCTGCAGGTAAGGAATGGGGGGTTCAAATGATGACATCAGCTTCATGACGACATCCTTCATGATGCAACTGGTGCTAAGTTCGTAATTGCATCATTAGAGAGACGATGTCATTGTTATGAATTGCAATGTCTTGTATTACTTGGCAGTGGAATATAAGGAGTAGATAAAAGAATCCAGCTATGTGAGTGGCTCCCTGCTAGTAAGTTACAAGCTACCAGTAAAGCTTACCTACAATATGTAATGGATTTATCTTTCTTATTTTTCTGGGTTTGTTGGGTTAACCAACAAATGCATCATCGTTTTGATGTCATCATGGCTTGCAAGAGATGCCAATGGCCATGCCCCTTCCTATGGTTTCTGCAACACCAGCACAACCACATCCTAGGATGTTTGACCAGCCTTTTTTCTACATTCCCACTACTGCCTACTGAGAGTGGGGAATATAATTATCTTACATAAACAGCAAAGTGTCTCAGGGCACCTGATCAGCATTTCAGCTTCTGCTGATGTAGTTCATTTTAGGCAATGCATGGATCAATTTCTGGAAAGATGAATCTTTGAGACATACTTTTTGAAAACAACAACTCCCATCACTCCAAAACTTCCTATGTTGGCTGTGGCTGAGAGGAGCTGAGTTTCCAGAAACATTTGGCTGACCACTAATTCTGTGTACAAATCCTTGGCATGGGAGTAGATTTTACCTGAAATGTACAATTTCCATAGCTTCTTTAGGAATGTTCCAAAAAACCTTAAATTCTTTCCCTTTTTTCACCTGGATTCCTCCATCAAGATTGGTTGATGACCTCAACACAGTTGACCAGTTCAGGCCAGTTTCCCCTAGAACTCCTACAGTTCCCATTTGGGCAGAAATTTGTAGGATAAAGCTGTCAAGATATATTGAGAAGAAGATATTTCAATGTAAGAGTTGACATAGAGTTTTAATGTCTTCCCACTACCCATCCTCCCAAGCTTAATAGACCTACATCATTTAGCAGGCATATTAACTTGATGAATAAATCTCTGCAGGAATGGAGGCTCAACGTCAGGTCTCATATTTTGTGTTGCTACTACAGCAATGCTGTCGTGCTGTTATACGTACTACGATTGCCAATGTATTAATCTTCAATTGTGGATTTGGAGGGCCAGTTCTTATGTGATCATAGTAGTATACATAACAGCAAGACAGCACTGCTGTAGTAGCAACACAAAATATGAGACCTGACATTGAGCCTCCATTCCTGCAGAGATTTATTCATCAGGTTAATATGCCTGCTAAATGATGTAGGTCTATCATGGCACTAACTGTTCATTCCTTCTTACCCCAAGATCCAAAAGGCTACTGAAAAGGAAAGAGGTGTCAGCTGGAAGACTTGTGGAAAGTGTATGTGTGCATTTGTGTCTGTCCATCTGTCCATCCATTAATCCCAATGGGAGGAAGAAACCAAATCAGCTCAAAGAGGACCAAGTTCTCAAAGGATGCGAAATCAGAAAAGAACAGAGGATCTGGAATCCTGAACAGGAGGACTCAGTCTTCCTCTTGGATTGCATAATGGTGGAATGGTTGGAGAATGCTAGATCATCTTTTCTATCAGAGTAAGGATGGAGACATAGGGAGGCTGGGGAACATGCTGGGAATAGGTGGCTGCACCACTACTGTCCCATGCTAGGAGTGAGCTCAGGCACCAATTAGTAGTAACATATTCAGCCTCCGGATAATAGCAAGAGCCATTGTATTAGTCAGTAGAAAAGCAAGGTAGAGAAGCTTGGAGTGCTAACATCTGGGATTCTTTCCAATGACTTTAGCTGCAGTAGTTATAGGAAGCATCTGAATTTTCTTTGGTACAATGAAGAAATATGGGGGGGGGGGGGTTTCTGTTCTTCCCTGTATTGTATTTGTATATTTGTATTTATTTGTATGTTTCCCTTGTATTGTATATGTATATTGTACTTATTCCCTTGTGTCTATGTTGGTGAGTTTGCCTGTTTTGGAAAGCTAGGGAAAGGGATGCTGAATATGCTCTGAACTGGGCCATGTGTCCACAAGGGAGCAAATGGGACTAGACCTGGAGCAGTTGCCAACATTCAGACCACCTGCCCAATGGCCCCTCTGATAGGGATGCATGGGGGGGATTTTCTCTCTATAACCCCCAGATCCTTTTCAGATCCATCTTTCTTTTGCCAGCTTCTCCTCCAAGGCCAAATTTGGTCCCCTTTTTCCTAGTTTTTGGAGCATTCCACGGCTGATGGAGTCCTGAGTCCCTTGACATAATTCCTCTTCCAACCCTTCCATTGGTTGGAAATGATACAAAGAATGAAGACACCTGGAATCAGGAAAGAGAGCCCATCTCTGGAAGCTCATTACCTTGGCTTGAGGTAGCCATTAATGAAAAAATGGTTGTGTTTCTTGAAGTCTGCATCTCCTCTGGCTGTCAGGTTGACAGCTGCCGAAGCATTCAAACCCAGGAGGACAGGAAATCCTGAGATGGTTGGAAACCGCACTTCTTCGGTTGCCAAACTCAATCTTTTATTCCACTGGACTTCTTGGCCCTATTGGAAAGTTGATTAAAGGTCAGCCACATATTATAGGGGGAAAAACAGGGAGCAAAACCAAAATCGTGTTATTAAAACACTTTTTATTCACTCTAGGGAACACATTCAGCATCTAATGGGAGCTCATTAGAACATATCTTGACACCTTCTTATGAATTTATTAGCTTAATTGTTGATTTAAATCAGTGTTTTTCAAATTTGGCAACTGTAAGATATGTGGACTTCAACTCCCAGAATTCCTCAGCCAGTTGGGGATGTTGAAGTCCACACGTCTTAAAGATGCCAAGTTTAAAAAACACTGATTTAAAATATTGGCTCACTGAACTTCTGCCAGAAAACAGCTAATCTACTGCTTATAGTCTAAAATGGCACAATCAAAAATCCTCTTGGAATGGCATGTTTAATGGATCAAGTGGGGAGAGTTTAAATATGTTGTGCATGCTCCAAAACCCTTAACTCTAGGGGCTAGTTTGAGTCCCAAGCAGACCCAGGTTTATTTCGTACTGAAATAACTCCCCGCACAGTCAACTAATGGAGAGCTATTTGTTCCTTTTGATGTCCACGTCAGACCTTCAAGGTAGACCAGAATAGGAAACCAAAATCATGCAGGCAAATACTACTTTTATTATAAGGTTATAGTAACAGAATTTTGCAAGTCTGAATGTGCTTCCTCATTCCCTTTAACTCTGTGACATCTTACCTGAGATGTTTTCTCAGGTTACAGTTCTGTCCTCGACTCAGGTTTCTTTTATCTGACTATTGTTTTGGTAGTGGCTCTTCCTCTGTCCCTCATGGTCATTCCTTCTATCCATTACAGTTCATGGTCATGCTGAAGTCCTAGAAATGCCCTACATAATCAGGCTACTCTAATTCTCTATATCTATAGCCATTTTGAGTTTCACATGCACACCATAGGGGATGAAAAAGGGGCAGAAGGGGGTGGGAAGCAGGCACTCTTCCTCAATTTTGTCTGCAATGGCAGAAATCCCCATCATGCAAGATATATATTTTCTAAAAATAATTCACCTCAAGTTTAAAAGAGAGATTAAAAAATGGAAGAGAAGTGATTCTGGGAACTGGGAAGTCTGAAAACATGGCACCAGCTCTCCAACTTAGTCCTCCCAGATTATGTACTCTCAGTCCATGGTGATGAGTCAATTGATCTGTAGGAGGAACTCATGGAATTGGCATAAAACAATGAAATATCACTTCTTAACATGTAAAAGTAGAGGCCTTTTTTTCCTCTATTACAGTTGGATTAAATGGATGCTGGAATGCCACGTGTGGGTGTAATGAACCTTCTCAAGAGGTTTGATGGTTGCCCTACCAAAATCTTCCATCCATTTCAGAGGCCTGGAGAACACCATTTGGAAATGATTGTGCTAATCACAATTCTCCTACCTTTAAAACCTTCATCATTAGCTCTGCTAGGTTCAAATAGTAATGTTTTGCTTGGCTTCTGAGATTGCCACAGTCAAGAATCACAAGCTCATTCCCAAAGATTTTTATGCTCAGTCTGCATTTTGGCTTCCTCTTTTTTCCCATTCTTTTGGTGAACTGAAGCATAGAGAGAGAGAAAGGGGGGGGGGTGACTACATCCAACACTGTTGCAACATAATTCTGAAACAAAATCCAACAGTTTGAAGCCATCTGCCAGGGGTTTCAAAATAAGACTATATCAAGAGTCAGTCAAAGCCAGCTATTAGAGAGAGTGCCAGGAGTCACAACCCAGGAATTGTGCCAGAGGACTAGTTCCGAGAAATGAAGCTGTGAAAAGTCTAGGAAGAAAATTGAAAACACATCAGAAGTCTACTGATGTCTAGCCAAATGCCGAGATTAACAGAAAATAATTGATCCTTTCCTTTCTTGGAACACACAAGGGCTAGCCTTGTTGGACAAGGCCAACCTAAGAACTCTAGCAGTGAGATGCCCCAAACTACATGTCTCCGAGCTCACCATATGGCTCAGTTAGAGAAACTCCAATCTACTGGAGCCTGACATTTTCCAACCAAGCTTAGATATTTTATGAGCTGTGTCAAACCAAGCTAACCAACAGATCTATCTGATTTTGTCATTCTTAAGGTAAACAGTATAATATACCTTTCAACTCAGCACAGTTGACCAACTGGAAATTGAAAACTGATTCTAGTCTGTTTCTATAGTTTCAGCAAAGTGACACTGTTGAGTTGCTGGCCACTGTACCTTCCATCTCTTTTATTATTAATTCAGATACAGTGAAAAATATCTCTCATATGGTTAACTCATTATGGAGTCGGATGATTAGTTCATCCAGTCCAAGCCTGGGGAACCTGTGGTCCCCAGATATTACTGAAAACAGCTCCCAGCATCTTTCACCCTTGGTTCAGCACCTGAGAGTTGAAGTTCAGTAATGTGGGAAAAGCCATAGCTTCCCCATTTTTGAATGAACCAATATTTTTTTATTTTGATAGGTTGAAACTCTTGAGGAATGTGAACAGAGGACTTTCTTGGCTCTGCTATATCAAATCTATTCATGGAAGATGTCAGGAATTGAAACAGTAAGCTTCTGCATGGAAATTATGTGTTTTGCACAAAGATATGAGCCTTTTATGAAAAGTTATTTAATAAAAACTATGCTGGATCAGACCAAGGATGGACAGCCAAATGCTATGGTCAAGACGGCTGTAGATATCTTTTTTTGTTGTTTCCCATCTTCAGAGACAAAGAAGCAGAATATAGCTGTCCTGTCTATTAGTAGTCCTGTCTGAAGTCTTCTTGAATTTTTCCAGCTCTCCTTTGAGTTGAAATAACCTAATCTATGTGCTGCTCGAACATGGGAACCCTTCCAAGACAATCCTCATAAATGATCCTGAATGTAACAAGCTAAGACCCACAGATGACACCTATTACCTTACCTTTTTCACAAATTCATTAATCTTATGGTATTGTCCACTTGGACAACTCAGCTCTTCTGTTCTCAGTGCAGTTTTGTTTTCTTTAGGTAGATGACCCTTCAAGCTGAATTGCTCGGATGATGGCTTATTCAGAGGAATCTTGCTCACCATCTCCTTTGGAGATTCTGGCTTCGTATGTCTTCCTTTGCTGTTCTGAACTGGGGGAAAGTCAAAGAATGTTCGGACAACATCTTCCATATTCTCGAATCTCACTCCAACCTGAAAAAATGACGCACAATATTTAGAATGCCACGGGCTCAGATGTTCTGCTGCCTGACTTGTAAGGACCATTTTGGATTTCATCTTAAAACCCTAAAGGCTTGGGAGACCAGTTATCTGTTTGCTTCCTTCCATATTTTGCCACGGGGGCCCTTTAACCTTTTCCAAGTGGCCCCCAACAAATGAGGGAGATGGTCAATGAAAAGGTTTATTCAATAGCAATGTGACCTTGGTGGAATGCTTTTCCTTCGGCACTAGAGGAGGATCTTTTTATTTTCCCAGGCATTTTAGGAAACTTTTAGAGTGACTGAAAAACAATTGGTTTTTACATGTATTCTGATTTTATGCTTCATGTTTATTATTATCATCAGTATTAATATTAGCATTACTATAGTTGGTACTCATTTGTCTTTTGGTGCTGTTACTATCGCTTTCCATTGGCTTAGTATCATATTATATAGGAAATGATTGGCTGACAACCATTCAGGAGATGGTTGCATAAATAAACACTGGCCACACATGCATTATCAGTAAAGAGAATTCTCTCTTTGCCTGTTCACAGAAAAGCTGTTAAAATCAACACCCAGATAAGCAGGGATCAGCACCAGACAAACAATCAGGGAGAAAACAAGACCCTAATCAAGGAACTACCAAGGAGAAAACCACACTCCCACCAACACTGACTATCAGCCAATCCTCCCTGCTGTATATAAACAGGGAGAAAACCTCACACTGATTAGCATTCATGTTGTTACCTAGCTGGGAAGCAAAATGTCTGTAAGAAAACAACCAAGCTCAGAGAACACCAAGGACTCCACGTAACTGTATCCCTTTCATTTCAAAACACCTTGTTAGGAAGATTCTGTGTGATTCTAGCCTAGGAAAAAGATAACTCTTGAGATGAATCCAGGGCCATAGAACCTGATCTTTTCAACAGATCCATGCATAGCCAGGGAACCGTAATTTTTCAGCATGACATTTGGAAATCGACCACAACAAAACCAAAAATAGACACAAACTGAAATGGTGAACTCTAATTCCACATACTGTATGTAAGTTGACGGGACTGGTGATGGAGTCTTGCTTCAATATGGGAAATAAGGCAGACTTTTCTACTCCCTCTGAAGAAAGGAAAGTAGCTACAAGAGTGGAGGGCAGAGCTCTTGGTGCACACAGGACAGTCTGTTGGGCAGGAACCAACCCATTGCTGTTGGTTCCTACCTATCTAGAGGGACACCAGCCTGGGGAATGCTGATCTTGGTTGGACCAGTGACCTGACTTGGGATAAGAAGTTTCTTCTGTTCCTGCGAATACAAAACTGCATTCCCGCACTTGTCAATCTTACATGCATCATTGGCACTTAACATGTTTCAGGTAACTTGCCTCTAAGAGGTTGAGAGCACGTCCCAGCAGATGAATTGTGAAATTGGTCAGGATCGAACGTGGGATAAAAGAGGCAGGTGAAAAGATGATCTTGGCTTCGGCATTTCCACTTGCCATCGCTGCAAGGTAAAGAGTCCCCAAATCACATCAGTTAGAAGAAAAACTTGTCTTACTGAAGTGCATGTCTTGATTATGCAGGTATATATTTCAAATATGCGTTTGAGTGCACATCTGTATTCGTCTTTCTTTAATACTATGTAGAAAAAGATTCCCTATAGCCAGAAACAGGGAGAAAGGCAAATGGTTTTCTCTATGAAAGCATGTATTTCTTTTGTTTCTTTCTTTTGTATAGAAAAAAGTTCTAAACATTAAGGCAGTGTTTCTCAACCTTGGCCACTTTAAGATGTGTGGACTTCAACTCCCAGAATTCCCCAGCCAGTCTTCTGGGAGTTGAAGTCCACACATCTTAAAGTGGCCAAGGTTGAGAAACACTGCCTTAAAGAATAAAATACAGAATCCACAGACATGATGGCCACGTTTTTTCATAATCTGAAAAAAGGTCTACAGATAATTTCAGATGTCTGGAGAAATGTGATTCAAGGCATAACTCAAACATTCAATTATTGATCATTTGGTGTTGCCCAAAGTTTAAGGGCTAATGCATAAAAACATAAGGACTTAACCTGATATTCATTCATTCATTCATTCATTCATTCATTCATTCATTCATTCATTCATTCTTCTCAAAGCATGGTGGTTAATCTACCTGAGTGGAAGGTAACATCTGTGTAGGAAGAAAACTTCCATGTTTCCCAGTCAAATTCCTTGCTAATGATGTCTTCAGGCAGAGAATTCCTAAGTTGCTGTTTCAGTGGGTCTTCTGTTCTTAAGAGCTCCGAAAGATGGCTCCAGACAAAAGAGCCCACTTTAAAAGAAAAGATATATAGACACCAAAAAACAGTTCAATTATTGGAAAACAGAAGCTAAACCTGAAGTGGAATACAGCATGATCCGCCCTAACGTGATGACCTCAGAGAAGTTGGATTACTACTGCACTTCCATCTTTTAAAAATCCAAAATGTTATGACCAGATTCTTACATTGGAATAATCCATTAATATACTTTGATGATCTGAGGCTGAATCTCTAGGGCAAATACAGGCACTATTCATAAACCATAGTGTGCGGCTTTGTGTCCTAAGTGAAGCCAGCAAACTGCAGCTGGTTCAATAAACTGTTTAATCCAACTCTAGTTTAATGAAGATAGGTGAACAGGCCTATAACATATCTGCAAAGACATTTTGCACATTGTAGTCCTAAGCATGTCTTCCTAGAAGTAGAGTCCCATTGAGTTCAGTGGCACTTTTCCCCAATTAAATATGCATATGACTGCATCCTAAATAATACAATAATGTGTTAATTCAGAAGAAAGAAAGAAAGAAAGTCCCTTAGAATTCAGTGAAGCTTGTAACCAAATCCTTGCACATAGGAAATAGCTAAATCTTCCAGAGGTGAGGAATATCTAGGGAAAGACCACCTCTTACCTTGGCTGGATTTCTCCTCCTGCAAAGTCCATTTAATGTGGTTAAATAAGACTTTGCTTGGACATTTCATGGCCATAAGATAAGAAGCAATTCTTATTTCAACATTCTCATCGTAGGTTTGAAACAGATGGACCAATACAGCACGCTAACATGAAGGAATCAACAACATAGAATCAGTTTATCAAATGGGGATCACATCTGTCCATTTCTCATTCCATTTTCTCAACAATCTCATTAACTACTGATTAGGCTTAATACAAGATTTTGCTAAAGCTTGATATTCAAATGTAAACATTCCTTATTTTCTATAGAAGAAGCAAACTACTGGGTGCTGGTCAAGCAGTCATTCTGAACTACTTATTTTGTAACATGTCATTAAAGCATAATTTATGCTAACCATAGTCTGGAAATCAATCGTGCCTTTGTAAGCCACTCTGGATAAAAAAAAAAACAATGCTAGGTTTTGAAGTATGGCCTGCAAATTAAAAAATAAAATAAAATAAGAAATGAAATGAAATGAAATAAAATAAAATACAGTAAATCAATATATGCACTATTCTAAGTGCAACTACACTCAGTATTTTGCATTCAGTTCTGGTCACATCAAAATGGTGTTATAGAATTGGAAAAGATTAAGGGCGACTTATATGATTGCAAAGCTAGAATCAACTTTCTTTTGAGGAAAGGTTATAATAGCTTGGTTCACATGCCAGTTAAGCTATAAGGGGTTTGGTTTTAGCTTCATATGTGTGCAAATCCAAACACTAGGGTTTGTAAATCATGGTTTATGGCTAAGGCAATGTCTGATTTGAGTCCTTATTACCTAAGAATCAAACCATTAGGGCTTTTTAAAGAACCGTGATTAAGATGACGTTTGCTATTAATGTAGCATTTTAGCTCAAATAAAAAGCAAGTGAAGAAATAAATCGATACAATAGATCCCACTTTCATAATACCAGATCCCAGGATCGTCCACTGAAGCTGGATGGAAGAGAGTTGGATCTTGGGGTCACCTATTCAGAACTATCAGTTGCGTCCTCGGTACCCTAAATGACTCCTTCCTTCTCTACCACATTAACATATATTTTATTGAAAATGAGATGGATGATAAATCAACTCTACATCACCCACATTGGCTGCACAGGGAATGCGCTGAAAGGCTTCAATGGCTGCCAGCCGGATTTCAGTAGGGTTGCTTTTCAGCGCTGCACAGGAACTCAGGAGAGTTGTCAAAGAAGTTGCTGCCAGTCCTGCATTTCCAATTGCATTTAAAATCAGTTCCATCTGAGAAGCCAAAGTGAAGTGGAATGAGACACCTCACAAATTAGTCTGGAAGGACCACAGCCCTCAAAACAAGAGAAGACTTGTTTTTCTTTGTCCTTAATCAAGCAGGAAGACTCTACCTGAGCAGTTCCCTCCAATTTGGACCCAGTACATTTTCTTCCTAGGCGTCTTCCAAGAATTTTCATAATCCTCAGTACTGCTGGTACTTGGTCACAGCTGGCTCTCGTGGAGCAGAAGTGGTGCAGCAAAGATGTTAACCCTAAGAACGTTATTTGCCGCTCCTTGGGTAACTCTAACAGAGGCTGAACAAGAGAGAGGTAGGAAAATAAACCCTTTATGTTACATAATTGGGGAGAAAAAATCAAGAAGATTAAGTTAGCCCTGGAGACAAATGTGATGAGGAACCTGACAGGTTCTAGGGAGAATCTGGAGAGCATGACAGAAGATCTGAGTGGTATGGACCAGTGGTGTACCTGAAGGAAGGCACCTGATCTTAATCAACTATGACAGACTCGGAGGGACCCAGGAACTGAAACAAAACATCTCTATTTCTGCCCTCCTGTCCTTAAGTCTGAGCCCAGGCGCTTTTGACATATGACCTAAAATTATGATGTTCGAATTGATTCATTCTTTATATATTTATTTTTCGTATGTGTGCCTGTGTGCTCCTGAGAAAGCTAGCCCGTAGTGGTTTATAACATCAGACAAGAAGAAAACTACATAAAAACAAATTAACCTACCAATAACCAGCAAGGAAATCAATCATACAACAACCTGTGATTTTTATGATGATTCTGGTTTACCCATTTTGGTTTCTAAACCATGGCTTTTTTAGATGAACCTCTTGCGCGAATACAGCTGATACATCTACACAAGCAGCCACAATCATGCCATCAGTTATCTTGCTTACAGCCAAAGCATCAATCATGCCTGCAGTGGGCTCTGGGATGAAGGCAAGTGACCTCAGGAAACGCTCAACGTGGTCATCTTCCACTTCTTGCAAAATGATCAGCTTTTTCATCAGGACAACGCAGGGTTCAGTTGCGCAAAAGGGAAGCGCGTCCAACAGAGGTTGCCTGAAAGAAATATGAGAATGGCAACACAATTGGGACATGTAAAGAATTGACAGTTTGATAGGTTGAGACTGACAGATTGATAGGCTAGTTGATAGTTCAGATTGATAGGTTCACAGGTTGAGATTCATAGGTTGAGCTTGAATCCAGATTAATCTATGGGACATAAACGCAACCCTAAGACAGACAGATGGCTGATCTAGACAGGTTAGCCCTGTGAGAAGGCAAAGGGTGTTTTCCCCATCCATGGGCTCTACATTGTTTATTAGCCCCAGCTGGATGCTTACAACCAAGAAAACTCAATTTTCACAGAGGCTCATTTGATTTATTGAAAGGAAAATGGATTGTTACAGAATTTGAAAACTGGCTATGTATATATTTTAGTCTCCATTTATCATGAGGATACAAAGGCTGAGCCTCCTTGATACCTTTGATCCTCTTTCTAACTGTCTCTTGACTTAATGGGGAGGTTGCTACCCATTTAGAAAAGATAAATGAAATATTGTTATTTGGCAGTATTTTGCAAACATCCATTCTCGTTTTCAGAATTCCATTCCACTGTGGCTGAAAGATTTGGTATCATGGAAATAATTCAAATTCATTTGATTTGCCTATCAAGTGAATTTGAATTATTTCCATGGTGCCAAATCTTTCAGCCACAGTGGAATGGAATTCTGAAAACGAGAATGGATGTTTGCAAAATATTGAGAGAGGAAAATAGAAAGAGAAAAATCCTAACTTTGGTTGGCTGGCTATTTTCTCCATGGCTCAGGAGTTCTTTAAGATAGACAAGAAGATGGACAAATTGATGGAACTTGGCCAGGAGGGAAAGAAATGGATAGTAATGAATGGCTGGTTTGATGGTTGGATGTCAAAACCCTGCATCGTCTGGTAATTTTTCACTTCTGTGTATTAAAATGACAATTAAGCCGCAACTTTGCAGAATTCTGGAAGTCTCTGGGAGTTGCAGGTAGCCCTGGAGTAAAAGGCTGGGCACCTCTGCTTTACGTTGATAGGGAGGATCTTGGGATTCATTTATTTACTGAACATCCATAGATTTAAAAAATGTAAGGTTGATATGAACTATATAAAAGTAGTTCAGGAAAAACAAAAGACATCCAACAATCAAACTTTGGAACCAACATTGCATATCAAAAATGAGGACTATTTATGAAACAGATCTAACATCTAATGGCAATTGCAGTGGTGCAAATCTCACAGCTTTCATAGAAGTTGCACTAAATAGATCTCTTAGTAAGAAGCAAACAAATTCCACTGGAGGCCAACATAGCCATCTACTGCTTAGGGGGAAGACTAGCTTGGTATTAAGACAGCTCAGTAGGACATGTTCAACTCTCTCAACCTCGTGCCTCAGCACATATGTAAGTGTTCTTGATATGGGATTTGTTGAATCTCCTCTGGATCATACTCAAAGGTAGAGCATCCAGTGTCATAAGTATGAACACCCTTCTAAGTGGAGCAGAGTAAGAGATCTTGGGGTTGAACTTGAGAAATCCTAATTAAACATTCCCCATTGCTATGTGACCTGCTTCTAGGCCTATTTTATCTGCCTTACCAGTTGTCTCGACATTTGGAAGAAGGTCTCTGCCATAGGTTCATTAAGGTATCAGTGGAGACCTGTCGAAGTGCAAACACCAAGTTCAGGAATTGGTCTGTAGGCTGGGGAGAAAAAAGGACCTGGATCAGTGTTCACAAGTTTAAAAATCATCAGTCTGAAAAATGTCTCCCAGTACCAAATTGGGTGGAATGCAAAACATCATAACCATGTTCTGGAAAGGATTTATCCTGGAGGGACTGGAAAAATTGCAGAGAAGAAAAGTGAAGTCTCCTTCAAATCAGACTCAACTTCTGGTAACTCCACAGATATCTCTTTATAGTTTTCTTGATGACAAGACAGAAGTGGTTTTCATTTTTCCAGGATGTTTTAAACTTTCTTGTCTAATTTACAGACCTTCCATAGCCCTTGGATGGTGGTTTCTCATCCAAGTGCTAACTAGGTCCAATCTTGTTTAACATTTTCAGGATCAGCCAAAGTTGACTAGATGTTGCCACTTAGTGGACATGGGAAAATCACACCCATTTATATATCTTTTGTAGCTAGAACCATCTCCAAACTTAACTTGCAAAATCTTTATACTCTTTGTGTTTATTTTTAAACATCTTCCCCCCTTTTTCCTTCTTGCTAGCCATTGTTACATTTTACTCGTAGAACACCTGAAGGAACAGGTTGGGGACATAAGAAGCCCTGGAGAAGCTAAGAGTGATTGGTAAGAGTCAGCAATGACTTGATGACATATAATCAGTCAGTTAAGAGGCAACTTTGGTAGAGCTCTGGAGGTCAAATATAATGGGGTCATGTGTTTATGGATCCTCAAGCTATGTACCCATGCTTTTCTAGAGCTTCTGCAATTAAAAAAAAAAGAAATCAAGCAAAAGTCTTGTTAATTTGAGGGGAATCTAACTCACAGGGAGTTCCCATCCCCCAAATCAACTCTTTCTTTCCTACCTCCCTTTGTATAGCTTCCTCTTTCTCCATGTCTGCCTCCAAGCCTTTTGCTCAATTCACAGCCCATTATTTAATCTGCATTTACATTCAATCTGTTCCTACAATGGGTGGACAACAACTCTATAGAGGCTCCCCTGTGAGTGACAAGCATTTCCTCCTCTGCTTTCAATGGGGATGAGTGAGATTCCTCCCAACCCTCTTTTATTCTTGTTTTGCTTGCCTGAATGGAACGTATAATCTCACCCCATTTGAAAGCAAAATAATAGCAGGGAACAAGTGAGACTATGCCTGGCTAGCAGAGATGGGGTTTCCAGGCAATCTTGTGGACCTTTCCCATAAGCCTCTCCCTAGACAAGCGATTTTGTTTTTTTAAAGGATGCAGATTTGGAGATAAGGAGAATGGGTGGGTTGGAACAGAGAATATAACACAGTTATAGAGATGTAATCAACACAGGACATAGGGAGAATATTAATAATTCACCTCTTTTTTAAAGGCAGACAAATTACCATGGGCAGAGACATACGTTCTGCTCAAGTCAGAATAATACTGTTTAGATCACCAGTGGCTTGCTGTCAGATTGAGGCGTCTATTGAACGAGTAGTTTTCATACGAATTACATGAACGTTATTAAATTAAGAATCAGTAGTTTTTCTTCCAGGCTCAGGCAACTTTGGCACCCCAAGCATTATGAGATCTTGTATGAGGAGGATTTTTTAAAAAAATGTAAGTCGTTGGCATCCTTATGGGAGATCTTGTGAAGATTCTGGGATTGCCTACAAGGTTGAGGACATTTCATGCAGTTGAGAGAACTTATGATTCTACCCAAAATATTTTATTTTATTTGGGAGGAGCTGAAGGCAATCTTGGAGGTGTGGCAGGTGCTCTAGAGTTAGAGGGTTCTGTGTGGCCAATCATGATCACATTCGATAAGCTACCTCAGTATCCATGGTAGGTTTCATGCAGAGCTTCTGGAGTACATCAGCTACTTTTTTCACCTCCTCCTCTTTGGACAATGGTGCCATTTTCTCTTTTTCATAGAGCAAGCTACTTTCATAGATGTCACTAGTGGCTACTAGAGAAATGAAACCAGCATTATATTACAGAAGTAGGAAATAAACAATGATATTTGTTCCCTAACATGGAACAATACGTCTATTCTTCTTCCTTGGTTAATTGAAGTACCTATTTTATTTTGGACACCAAGGATAAGCAACATCTCCAAAGTACTTCTGTCCAGAAACAGTGAATTAAAGAAGTAGCAATTCACTGTTCTTTAGCTCTACCCAATAGTAGGGTTGGCCACGCAACAGTCATCCCATTCATTTTTTCTTGCTTGGAGGCATCAACAAACCTTTTTCCTGGAATACAGCATCAGCTTCAGTGTGGAAGAGCTTCAATACTGTCCGAGTCTGCATCTTCACTCCATTGCCCTTCCTTGCAGGAGGTGTAACAAGGTGGGACTCAATACATTTGATTTCTGCAAGGATTCCCTTCTCCTCAAACCGCTGGACACATTCAAGTTTGGATGACAGAAGCTGCTCCTAGGATTGTAACAGACACATGGGATCTAGTGGGAGCAGTGATATGTACCTAATCAAAGCCATTTTAGACATAAAATGGAGGCCAATTATTTTTCATTTAGTGATGCTCTAACTGACATCACTGTTGCTAAAAACCACCCCAAAGCAGGACACAATTAAAGAACAATTTACAATAAGTTAAGTTGTAATGACTTTCAACTTCAATAAATAAATAACTTGTAAATTCAATTCAATAAAATCCAACATAGTTAAAACATATTCTCCCTACAACATATAAATGTCATAAAAAATGGCAAAACAGGACACTGATTTTTCCCAAAAATGGGATCCCCTTTTACTTATTTATTGAATTTGCATTCTACTTGGCGGATCACATTTTATATATACAGTAGAACCCTGGTTTACTGGAGAAAGAGGCATGTCTGTTACTCCCAAGAGCCTGTTAAATCCAAAAATACATCATTCATATCATTACACCATTTCTATCATTATGTTGCAATGCAAAAAGACTAGTTTGAATGTAACAGATTTATCTGTTGAATTCCGACGGTGTGCCAATGGCAAACATGGATGTTATATCGAAAGTCCATTAAACTGAACAGATGGTTTCTATACAGTGATGTAGACCTGATCAACAGCCCAGCAAAATAGGGAGAGAATAAGAATTTCTTGCTCCTTGAATGAACACCAAGGAGGATCCATTCCTGACAGGGCTGAACATTTAATACAAGTTGACACTGGGTAAACTGAAGTTTCCTTCCAATATCTAGACTCCACTTCCACACTCACACTCACTAGCACTGATGAAGTTACCTAGTTGGGTAATGAAATGTCTGTAAGCAAACAACCAAGCCCAGAGAACACCAAGGACTCCACAATACCTAGACTGTTTTCAAGTGCATTATAATCAGCCACTAAGGCTTGGTGCCATTGTTCTTACCAATGCATTGGGAAGAGCCACAGATCTCAGAAAAGTAAATCCAGAAAAATGTTGAGAACACAGGTTGAAATCTTTCATCTTCAGAAGAAGTGTGCCTTTCTGTTGGTACTGAGTGGGACATTTCCCTGAAATATCCACCTAAAGTAGCAATGCATCAAGAAAACAAAATCAGGATTACTGTCCTTAGTTCCCAGATGTGTAATTCCAACCCATAACTTAACAGAAATAAATTAGATAGAGTGAGAAATGGCACTGAGGATAGGAATGAGACACTTCTGGGCCATAGACCTCATTCAGTTTGTGAGGCTGACAAATCTCGGTGTCCTGGCTCTCTCCCATCAGATCTAACAGTGTGTCACACTTACAGACATTGTAGTTGGGATGTTGCAACCCCAGCAATGGTTTGTTCCCTCTGTCCCCTCCTCCTTCTAAAAATGCAATCTTTAGCTGAGATATAAATAGTAGCAGCAATGGGTCAGAGGAGCATGGGGTTGCCAAACTCACAATGCACAATTTTCTTGCCAACTTCACAAGAGGTTACTGAGACATTTGATTCAGAGATTCAATGGTGATTCAATGGATTTGACCATTTGATTCCATGTTCCAAACTGAATCTCTGAAAGATTCAAAGTATTGGATCAAATGATTCAATTTCTGAAAGATTCTGACCTGCTCTAGAGATATGATCAGCACTCACACACTTTCTTCAAGTTGAAAAACCAAACCAAATCGATTTTCAATTTTCCAAATCAGTCTGGAAGTCCAAATTAAACTGATTATCTGGATTTGACTTTTCAAATTGATTTTGCAATAGAAATCAAGTCAAGGCTTATTTGCATACCCTGGGCCAATAAACTAAAATAAACCAATCCTGATAGTCAATGTGGAGATGCAATGCAGGTAGAAAAAGGAGGGAGGGGCCTTTGAATTATGGTCAGAAGCACAGTTATCTTCACTTTTCACACCCTTCCTCACAGGCACTCCTTTCCAAAAGTTTGCCAATCTTTGATTTCGGGTGGTGTCAAGAAGCAACTCAGATCAAAGGCAGCAGTATTACTAATGCAAATATCAAAAACTGACGTTCAATATCTGGAAAGCTTTAAGAATGAGATTAAAAATAATATATGGATGGGCTGAACTCAGTTTTGAGATCAAAAGGGTTCACCTCTTCCACAGTGCTGTTGGCAGCTGCTATCGGTGATGATGTCTGGAGAGCACTGAGGATACCCCGTTTGATGTTTAGTGCCCAAGTTGGCTCATTCTTCTGGGGAAAGATCTTCAGAACTTTCCCATTATGAAAACAAAACCACAGCGGGTATCGCTCCAGTACTTCCCTAGAAGACAGCAAAGGGGAAGATTTGTTTTTTTTCCAGTTAGGGTTAGGAAATGTGGACACATGATGGGAAGATGTCACTGTCTGGAGAAGGCTCTAATGCTGGGAAAGGTGGAAAGAAAGAAAAGAGGAGGACAACCAGCAGCAAGGTGGGTGGACTCAGTTACAGTGGTGATGGGGGCACCGTAGGGTAGATCATCATGGAGAAAATCTATCTATGTGGTTGCTAAAAGTTGACACCAGCCTGATGGCACATAACCAATCAAGTTGAGGAAAAGGGATGTCCACATAGTGAACACATTATGTTCACTAGCAATATGTATGGGGAAGTCCACACAGCTTCCTCCACAAACCAGTGAGATCTATCAACATCCATTCAGAGATTCTTTTGGCCAGCAAAAAGCATTTTAGAACAGTCTCTGCAATATAATAAAGGAACATAATTTTATTACATTGCACAGGAACAAATAAAGCTATGTGGAGGACAATTTAGAGTGGGGCCAAATGTCTCCTACCATGAATTAACCCTGCAGAAAATAGCTTTTTGAGCATCCAAAGTTTGTTCCCTATTTTGCAAGAACTTAATGAAACTATTGTTTCTATGGGGAAGGAGGGGGAGCAGGAAAAGGGTTCCCCGTTTAGGCCAACCCTTTGAATTTGCTTGCAAAAAAAATTACCCAACTTTTCCTCCAAAAGAAACCAAAGAATGTTAACAATTTCTCACTTCCCTGGAAGGAAATTGTGCAAAGGATCATAAATTTTGTTTCGTACTTCTCATGCTGTGGGACAAAGGTGGTTGCAAAGTTCTAGGAAAGGTCATCAAAGGACTGCTAATGGGATTCAGATTTATTTTTCCTCCCAGGTTTAACACTCAAGTAAACTCAAAATGGAGCATTGTATTCTTAAGACCTCGTAACAAGTCTTAAGGGACATGCCTCTTGACCAAATGCTTTGATATTCAAGGCATGCATCTGGGTGTCTGATATTAAGGTTTTCTGGAGGGGTTGTGAATGCTTGGTCTGCTCATGCCTCTGGCCAAAAACAGACCAAGACAGGCTTGGCAACCAGTGTTTAAAAGTCTAGGAAAGTAAGTTAATGTGACCAGAGGAGTGGGGGGATTTAACAGGAACAGACAACAGAAAAAGAGATGGGAAAGTGGCTGATATTTGAAGGATTAACCATGACTAAAAGTGAACAGGTTTCTTTGCATACCAATTTACGCTATCTAGATATAAGCCATCAGCCTTTTGAGGTGGTCCAGACAGGAAACCAAAACCATGAGTATTAACACTACTTTTATTGTAAAGTTATAGTAACAGAAGCTTGCAAGTCTGAAAGGATTTCTCCCCTCCCTTGCTTTTACTTTCCAGAAAACTAGGGAGGGTCCCTTCCAAGATGCTTTCCACACCCCTTTTCCTTCCGTGGGCTGATATCTCTTGGCACCTGGCTACAGCTCTTCCTCCTGTCTCCCAAGGTTATTCTCACAGCCCATTACATAAGCTGAATGCACACCACAGAATAAAGCCTAGGTTTGGGTTAATTAAACACAAATATTCTGTTCGTGTAACATGCAATGCTGAAATACACACTGCTATGGCTCAGTGTGACGTCCTGGATCACACAACATGCTAAGCCAAGGGCTGGATTCCCATAGCTCACTGAACCAGCAGTATCCATGGTGTGTGTGCGTGCATAAAAAGGCAAGATGGCAGACATGATGACACAATGTAAATCAGCTTTTGACCACCCCACCCCCAGGGATGCGGCCGCACCGCATCATAAGCTCCCCACCCCCATTTTAGCCTAGTCTATTGTGATGTGCAAACCATATCCTAGAGCACTGTTCTATCTAGGAAAACCTTGTCCACCTCGCTCAAGGGCTGTTGTTTTGGACGCAGAGTTGTTTTACCTTAACCTGTCATTTTCATTTATCAGCTTCACCTCGGATTCAAAGATGGCTTTGATCTGTACTCCTTGCAACTGGGGACAAGAACAGATGTCAACACATTTCAACCTTCAAGTGGCTGAATATAAAAAGTAAGATGGGGGGAAGTTAGAATGTTGTAAACCAGTTTAGGGTTTCAGATCAGAGACCAGGACTGGCCCAAATAATCAAGTACCTTTTGCAATATAAAAGAAAGATGGGGGACAAATATTTTAAACAATCAAAGTTTATAATAATTCTCTATGTTTTGACGGAAAGAAACATACAGTATGCACAAACTCTTGAGCCCTTACAGCAGTGTTTCTCAACCTTGGGAACTTTAAGATGTGTGATCTTCAGCTTCCAGAATTCCCCAGCCAGCATGGGAATTGAAGGCTAAGAACACTGCCTTACAGTAACAGCATATAGAAGGAGAAGTTGGCATGTCTTTTCCTTTGCTCACCTCCCCCAAATAAAACACATCTTTGAGAAATGGGTTGGCAACTTTGCCAGACACAGGCTGGCTCTCCCAAACCTCTCTTTAGCTTGAAATGAGGTTGAAACACATGAGCGTTATTGTTTGCTCCTGCAATCTCTACTTTTCCTTGCTGTGGAACCAAAAATTATCACAAAGCTTATGCTCCTGGTTGGCCGGTAATTATACCTTTGGAACCTGGGTTGGCCTCCTCTGTCTCTTTGCAGAATTGGAGAGGAGGGATGGCTTGGGGCCTAGATATCTAAAAGATCGCCTTTTCCAGATAGATTCTGCTCATCTGATCCAGATGGCCTGAGAACATCTGTTAGGATCCTCACCTACCAGCAGTTGCAACAGGAAGGGGCCCAATGATGGGCATTCTTAGTGGAGGTTCCCTTCCTCTGGAGGTGCTTATCCTTTAAGGCACGGATGATTCCTACTCTTAGGGCTTCCAGAAGCTGACAAAAATTTGGCTTTTCCAGAAGGCCTTTGAGGTTTGACTGTGGAGTCATCAACACCATGAATTAAAATGTAATATTTTGTATTACTATTCCTGTTCTTTATCATTACTATCTGTAAACTGCTTAGAATCCATCTGGATTGAGGTGATAGATAGATGACAGACAGACACAGAAGCACAGGAACTGGGGGGAAATGGTCCATAGAGCAATCTCTGAGTCAGACTTGAATCCAAAGGAGATCTACATTTATCGTATGATGAATTTAGGGTTTTTAAGCTCCACCCTGCCCTGCTCCCAAGTGCTTTTACTTCCAGGTAATTTCCAGCATTACCATCCAACTAATGCTCCTTTGGGTGGTTCATCACACTTGACCACCCTACTCACTTTTAGAATTCGGCGGCAATTTGCCAACACTTCGACCACAGCTGTACTTTCCAGGGTGATGCCACTTCTCTGGTGGGCTCTTCCCTGAAGGAACGTACTGGTAGATGTTGAGTAGCTATAGCTGAATCGGGATCCCAGTGGGATTGTTGGTGTACTATATCCTGCAAAAGCAAAGCAGGTTTTTGAGGCAGTTGCTGTCAGGCCCAGCCCAAGAACAATGATGAAACAGTCCAGCTGAGTACAGTTCCTTTATTTGCTTACACCTAATAGACAGAATCTTGCCAAACTAAATCTATACTACAGCAAGTAGTGGATCTACTCTGGGAGATTCTAGGGAGTGGCTATCCTGAATCTTTTACTCTTCTCATGCTCCCCTGTGGACTGTGTTCTTTTGCCTCCTTTCCCCTGCTGGAATGCACCCCCTCCTTCCTGATAGCCTTGATCCCCCACATCACTCTCTTCCTCATAGATATATTCCATCACAAGTGCTTTGAAGATGCCCAGTTGTTTAAAGCAGCATTGGATAAGATCCTTTAGGTGGACGCAAGAAATTAGTCCATGTTAGCAGGCTTTAAAGGATATTAGATAGAGAGCTTTTGCAGCTCTTCCACAGGGTATGGTCAATAAAATCAAGATGGCAGCCATGAAGATGCAATCAAAGCTCCATCTATTTTTTATTGTATTACTAATTTCTAAAAATTTCAACATACTTTTTGGAATGGGGTATTAGATTGTCTAGGAAGTGCAAACATCAATAGATGTATGATGTTCTGATCTTTTGGGGACAGAGTAGGCATCCTACATTCCCTGGATTTCATTTTATGAAGTCTTTGACAAGCTATCAGTTCAGAAGACAAAACAGGAGGGGTGTCCACCACAGATTTCCTCTGGTCCCATCCATTTTTCTCCAAACCCACCCACCATTGTTCAAACCTCTGAAGGTGTTAAAATGTCTAATGCCCCTATATTTCAACTTAAGGTTTAGCTCTGATGTGGACAGCACAAACCCCAAGATGGTGGATATTTGGATTAACCAGTGAATGGACATGTGAGGGTTTAACACATTTGTATCATTTATATTCGCTGGTGTTTTCTTCCTGAGAATTTGCTTCGCCATCTCACCTGTGCACTGGGATGGACAAGAGTATTCGTGCCTTAAATTCTCTGGGCCTCCTACAATGACAAACCAAGAGCAATTGTCGAAAAAGCATTTGTGAAAAAAAAGCCAAGGGTGGTTTTGAGTTGGGGATTATGCGGCTGTTTATTTACCCCGGGTCTAGGAAAAGGTTCAACGTAACATTTGCAGAAAGTCGTGCCTGTTGTCTTGGAAACCGCCACATTTTTGTAAGGATGGGAGTGAAAGGATTCAGGAGCAGGCAAAACAGCTCAGTTTTGAGAGCAAGCATCTGTCTTAGCAGAACAGGCTTCCAGCTTCATGCCAGAAGGATTAAGGCGTCAACAACTTGTCTGATTAACCTTGGATGGGATCCAAATCCTCACCTTGACTCTAAATATATCATCACCTTGAGGACTTCAAATTGGGAAACTATATGTGAAAATTAGGCGCGAACTTGGAGGGTCGTGGTGGAACTTGTCCGGGAAAGTTGGGGTTTGCCGCAGAATTCTGAACCCAATTACTTCAATATGTCCCAAGCTACATTTTTAATCTATTAATCAGCCCAAATGCTACAGCTGCAATCTGTATATCTAGATCTTTTTATGCCCATTAAATGGTGAAAACACAGAAGCAACATTTGTCCATAAATAGGAATACTTGCTGAATAGGAAGGCGAGGAGAAACACTCTTGACTCATAACACCAGCCAGTTTTCTCAGTCCTTCTCTCTCATCCAAGAATGGACATTCCTCTGATTTTTTGGACCTACTTCATTATTATACTATAGAGCAGTATTTCTCAACCTCATCAACTTCAAGATCTGTGCACTTCAACTCCCAGAATTCCCCAGCTAGCATGTATATAGCCAGCATGCATACATGCTGGCTGGGGAATTCTGGGAGTTGAAGTGCACACATCTTGAAGCTGCTGAGGTTGAGAAACATTGCTAGAGGGGTAGACAACCGCAGCTCTGGCACCCTAATGCAACCTTGTTGCACATGATGGAGCAGAGAGCCCCTTCATTGGTACACTCAATGCTTTTTATTCAGAGATAAATCTAATTTTGTTAATCAAGTTCTGAGGAGGTTTTGTCTGCTTGGACCTTAACTCTGCTGTTTCTGGAAGTGATTGGTTGGCTTCTGGGGAGTGCAAACAGTCCCAAGATTTCATCCAGCGCTGATTGGCAGTGCTTGTGTTTTCAAATAATATAAGGCACGTAGATGCCATCCTTTAAAAAATATGGGCCAAAGGGAGCTTGCCTATCTAAAATAAGAGGGAAGCATGCTCCTTCTCTTCACCCTGGATTTATAATTGATTTGGTAATAGTTATCCCCATCATTGCCAATCACAGACAGAAACCAAATTGAGCAGGCCAGGGATATGCACGCTACAGACCGCCCAGGTTGGGTGAAGATCTTTTATGGAGACCTTCTCTTTAAGTAGGAAATTCAGAAGATGTGTGCTGATGGGACAAGAGCCCACAGCTCATCAAAAAAAACAAAAACAAAAAACAGGACAGATTCTAACATACTCTGAAGATTGATTGATTGATTGATTGATTGATTGATGACAAGTTGGTGTTGACTCCTGGAGACCAC